AAAAATTTAAGATATAAAATATATACGTATTTCGACTTAGGTGGCGTGTTAAGAGTGCGTATGCGTGTGGCATGAGCTGTGCGATTTTTATGCGAATATAGCGAAAATTTTAGAAAGTAAACGAGCTAGCGATAGCAGAAGAATCAATTTTGGAGATAGGAGAAGTTAAGCATGTAAAGGAGAGCGTTGAAAGCAGGGTAGAAGGCGAGTTGTGGCATATATAGAGGACTGGAAAGTAAAGTTATAGTGGCAAAGAATGCGGGAGGCCCGAATCGGAAAACAGGCATAGGTAAGACGATCGATCCTGAACAGAGGAAATTAACGACAGAAAAGTTAAGGATAGCACGAAGAAAGTATCATTTATAGGAGAGGATAACGGAAGCGAGGGTGATGAGACATGTGACGAAGTGAGAGAAACAAGTAAGCAATTAAATATAGAGTTGGAGGCATTAAAAAAGGAGAGGAAAACATTCATAGAGGGAATAAAAATTAAAGAGATAATGTAGGAAGAGAAAATCAGAGCACTGGGGAAATAGATGATGGAAAGAGAGTATAGGGAAAATTTGATGAGTGAGGAAAAACAACTAAGGATTTGGTTAGTGGGTAGGGAGGAGGACATGGGGGAGAGCGTCTTTAGCAAAGGTAGAAGCGTATTTAGTAGAAGAGAAAGTAGCTACAGCGTTTTTATATTGGAAGAAAGTATGGATAGATTAAGTGTGAAGGATGTAGAAAAAATAAGTAAAATGATAACCAAAAAAGATAGGAAAAAAGGCGCAACATAGTGATCAAAAGTAAATATTTTGAATACTTAATTGAATATTTAATTACATACAGATTTTTATTATTTTAGTAGAGTACTTATAGATAAATATTATTCATAAATATTGTATTACGTGAAAGTAAAACATATTTATAAAATGTCTAGTCAAATCATAGAAATCTAAAAAAAATTAAACGTAAATTATAAAATAATGTGTTTCTCTAAATTCTCTTTAGAGTGGAATCTCACTTTAAAAATTGGGTCGATTTTAAAAAAGAGTGACTCAATTTTCAATCTTTAGGAGTGAGATTTCACTCTTTAGTATGAGATTTACTTTAAAAGTTTTAGAAAATCTGGATTATAATATAGATTATAAAATATGATTTTATCAGATATTAACCAATAGAGAATAAAAGCTCATCAAAGCTGGATCTTTAATACTTTTAAATAATTCAATGTATGAATTTATATATACTATATGTATATGTACATACATATATATTATATATATTATATATGTTTGTAATTATTTGAACTGCGCGTCGAAATTTGTTTGGATTTTTAAAACGCAGAACTATTGTAGTAATATCACAATTAAATTTGATACTCAATAGGCATCTATTAATAATTATTTATCAGATATTACTTTTACGATAATTAATACATATGTATATTTTTACTCATGATGCTATTGAACTCTAGATAATTACAATACTAATTGAGAACGTCAATAAGTGCTTGCAACATAAATAAGTACCTATATTTCATACACGTGCTGCAGAAGTACGATATAATTAAGCACGGTGGTGCTTAGTTGATCCAATACTTTTAATGATAATACTTATAGAATGATCAACTTACTGTTGCTCTCGGTTCCCACGACGTCTGGACAGGCCTGGTACTTGAGGAGGAGTTTGCTCTCGTCAGTACATTTCTCCACGAGACTTATAGGCATAGCACATTCGCCGTAACCCCGATTGTACGTGAATGTGAACGACGCCCCGCTGAATGGGCAAGCTATCGGTTTCGAGTTCACACGGAACATCGAATAGAGCGTATCATCCGAAGTAATTTCCGAGCACATGTTTTCCAAACGTAATCGCTCCGAGTTGCACCAGCCTGCTAAAATAATTATCAGGTTGTAATAAAATTTCTTCCTGAATTGCACTTAAAGCTTTATATCTAATTCAGATTCAATAAACGTACTTTCGCGATATTGAATAACGTTGTCATGGCGTCCATTGATGATCATACAGTGATAACAATTGTCACCGCTGAAACGACAAGCAAAATGTTTATTCAAAGGTACCAGAAGGTTTGCGGGTTATCGCCGTGTTTTCATCTATTGCTAATGTCAACATTTCGTGAACGACAAGGTTCATAAAACATTGGCATTAGCGATAGATGAAAACGGCGATAACCCGCAAACCTTCTGTTCACCTCGAGGATTGTGTGGTATCTTTGAAGATAATACCTGTGATAGCCTAAAAAGTTTTATAAAAATGTTTATTGTCAGTTGCAAATTGAACAATTTGCGATAAAATGATGGAAAGATGATTCAATATTTCTTTTGATTTAAATGAGATGATACTTACAAAACGATATATTTGTCATCCGTTTTTTCGAGGCATGTTCGTTCCCCAAGAACGGTCGTATTTATAATGACTGATTGAGGCTTGCCATATTGAAACCATTCTCCTGACCAACTCGATGGAAACTCGCAAGACCCTGAAGCATAAGAAATCTTTCAATGCGTGCAACAACGCAAATGAATTTTAATGTATTTTCATCAGTGATTCCTACAGTGATCATACAATTATGAAACGGACGATCCAAATCATGCTCAAAATTTTCATGATAAATTCTTTAATAAAAATAATTTAGGTCTTTAATAATAAATAAATAAAAAATCTTTAATAAATTATATTTTTTTTTTCCTAAAGAAAGAGATCACAAAATCTCGATAATTTTTTTTCGCCGCTTTTTTATTCGCTATTTTAAATTGTGTGTCAAATGATATCTTATGATGAGACATTAATGACAAAAAATTTTCAAGTCAAGCTGAAAATTGGTTTAAAAGATATAGGGAATCAAGTAGTCAAAGTTCATTAAAGTGTCAGTATACGCTTTGCAGCACGAATTTATCTTGATTGATGTCTCATCATAAGATATCATTTGGATAAAATCAGTTTCAAAATCGTAGGACTAAAAATGGAAATTTTTGTTGTCGTCTTTTCTCAACAATAAAAGATTTACACATATAATCTTTTTAAAAAATAGATAAGCTTCTATCTCTTTCTATTTCCAATTAAAATTTTATTGAACTAAAATTCAAAATTAATTAAATAAAATTTAAAGAATGAGTTTTATGTTATGTACGGTCTCGTTCATTGTTTATCAAATTATCCTATATTTAATATTTTATATATTACAACGTAAAAAATCTTGTAAATTGTTTCTCCCGATTATTATACACATATATTTATTATATTTAATTCTATTCGTTTACAAGATACCTTGTAAAAACAGCTCGTTAAAAGGATTTTTCTTCGATACAAGTTTAGCTTTCTTTAAATCGTAAGTCTACGTTCATTCAGGTAGAGAATCTGGAAGCGAGGACTCGCTTAATTGGGAGAATTAAGAGGCTCCACGTGGTCTTTCATCAAGAGACGCGGATGATTAGAAAATTGCTATCGGGTCCAATACAACACGATTATTACGGTTGGGGCGTTTCGAGAGTCAGGCTGAAGAAAGGGAACTGCTGCGCGTTGAATATGTGTCGCGAGCAATGCTCGGAACGCGCGAGTTAGGAAAAAAAAAAAGAAAGAAAAAGTTGACGACACGCGGCCCGCATTACCAGTCATTTTCCCAGCCTTCGACGCCTCTTTATCCTAGTCACCAGCCGTCAAGCGACGCTATTTAGCGAGTTCTAATGAAAAGTTGCCAGACAGGACGAGAATGCTCTGGTCGAGCGGAAAGTTTTCAGACGTACGAGGCAAAATCGGAGCAAACACTCGATGTGGACGATCGACTACCTTCGAGTTCTAAAGGTCTACAAATAGCAAAAGAATATTGATAAATTTTTTCCAGTGCCTTAATCTGCTGGAACCGATACAGACACTATTATAAATCTACGCCATATTGATATTAAAATCAATATGGTAAGAACAATACGTGTAGATATGGACATCGCATGGTGTTAAATATGGTGTTAAATCACACTGATATTTTCTAGAGTACGATAAATTATAGATCCATTAATTACGTGTAGCTTCAAATGAGGGACTTAAAAAAAAGAAACGTTGAAGTCAATTGTCGTGAATGAATCAATTTTATAAAATGAAATTTATGAAGTTGTTCATGTTTATGTATGGGGGATCCTTATAAAATATTCTTATGGAAGTGGTTCCGTGGTCCCTCGAGGTTGGGCGATAAACGGTCCTGAACGAAGGGTTAAGGTCCGAAAGCATATGACTTTATGCGTAGATATATTTATCGGTTCGCGATGTTTAGTGCGTTCGATCGAACGTGCGTATATTTCGGGGTGGTTGCTTGCTCGGCGGCGCGAGCGATGGCGAACGTCAGAAATAGCCGAGAAGAGGGCGGAGGCGGAGGAACGGAGGGTGGGCGAAGGGAAATGGGATACACACGCGACAGCGTCTATGGGGTGTCTCAGAACCGATCCAGCCTTTAATATTAATGACGGGCACATCGACGAAAATGGAGTCGGTTGTGTTTCCCCGAGAGGGATATTTCGTAGGAGACCGTAGGTTACCGACATAAGTCATCTCTAATTAGAGTTCTAAAGTGTTCACCACAAGCGGACAGGAAAGCACCAGGAAAGCAACACGGTTACTTACTACTACGTACGTTCGAATAAACGTCGAACCGATTATTGACCGATTACTCTCTGCTTTCTCAGTTTGCAGGATAGGCGAGGTTTCGCAAACTCTTGCAGATCGCTTGGAAGTTCTCACCTCCCTCTTCGCAAGATTTAGCTCGTCGACTCCGACTGGACTGGAGGTTCTCGGACACCTTGTATGCTAAGTGGTACGCGCACGTGCACCATGCGCGAACCGAGCAGCCAGTTTTCGTCAGGAACGTCGAACGCCGCGCCGGCATAGCCACAGCCGCACGAGCGGAAAAGGAACAAGGGTTCGTCGAAGAAACATCATTTATCTCGACGTAGTCGGGAGAGAGGGTGGCGTCTTTTCCTTCTCGTTTCCCCTTTCGTTCCTCCTGTCTCTGTCGCGATCGTCTTCGACGACGAGAAGAAGCGGCGACAGATCTCGCAGGCGCGCGGACAGCCGCTCGACAGGCGGTGGCGACGGTTTTGTGCGTCTCGCGTCTTCGCTCTTTAACAGCTCTTTTTGAGAGAGACTCGCGGGTGAGGCGTGAAGCCGTAGGAAAGCGGGGGAAAACCACTCGTTAACGAGCTAACGAGTATAATACGTACGAGAGCGCATGAAGCCAATGAGCCGAAATCGGATGGAGACACGAGAAAACCCAAAGAAGATGACTTAACCCGGAGAAACATGACGAATGGGCTTCCTCGTAACGGAAATGGAATGTCCAAGTCCGTATTTAAATATATTCCTTTTATACAATGTGTTAAATGCACTTTTCGTGCATGTGGCAATGGTTTCTTTGTGAAACCGAGATGACTGCAGCCTCTTAACGAGAACGTGCGTTGAGTGTCTTTTTTTATTAAGAAGAAGGAAGTTTTTTTTTGCGCATTGCTTTTCTCGAGGATAAATTAATAACGCAAATAAATTCGTTGCAGTGTTTTAAGATGCTTACACTAACATCTCACTTGTTTTATTTTTAATGAAACCGAGATAGAGTGTTTCATCATATAATATTTTTTTCATAATTTTAAATCTGTTTGATAAATTTATGAGGATAGCAGAGTTTTTGAGTAACATTAATTTAAAAATGCTTTCACTTTTTTATTTCTCCTGCTCAGACGTAAATAAGTGATTCATAGGAAAGAAGTAGCTATTAAATTTTAAATGACTTTCTATTACACATTATAAAAAGCATCAAACAAAAATTAATTATTTACAACGAGCTCTTGTTAGCACAAAATATGTATAAGTTTTCAAAAGAGATACATCAGTTTTGAAAAATTGGAGAGCAAGATAATTTTAACTTCATTTTCAGAATCGGAAAAATACATAAGAATCAATCAAAATATTATCCCATTTAACAAAACAGTGTTGTTAGCATTATTATTATTCAATTAAACGGTCAATGTAATTTGAAATTTAGATTGCGTTTTAAAACCGGCTGTGTCCGGCACACAGTTTGAAAAATTGGAAAAAATATATTTAATAATATTCGCTTAAAAATATTATTAGGCACTAAAGTGTCTTTTTTGTTTGTGTTACTCACAGAAGTGGTCTAATTTAACTTATTATTACAAATGACACAAAATTATTTTACTAGTCTTTAACATAACTTTACCTTGATAAATTCTTAAAATATAATTATCATGCTTTAACTATGTTTAACATGTTATTAAAATTTCACAGACTGATAAAATGATAAAGGACCGTCGTCGTTTGTTGAAATGCCAAATTAAAAATTTCGATAGAAAATATAAATCCCCGCTCTTAAACAGAAAATACTTTTCATTCATCAATTGCGTTTATTTCTGAAATACCGTGAAATTTCCCATGACATTTTTACGCAGGCAAAATTAATAAAAACATTCCAATAATTAATATTTCATATTTTTTTTTTATCAAATCAAGGCAATAAAAATATAAGCAATAAAGCGTTCAAATTCCGAGTTAATATAAATTTATTTCCGAGAGGACAGAGTTAGTAATTGTCCAAATAACTTTCCCGAATTTCACGAGGTTTTAATCCATGCATCTCTATCTTTGACACGTAGCTCTGAAAAAGATCTAAAAATAATAAAATATAGATATCATTCCAGATAATAGCAACCTCTAAAGAGCTCTAAAGCAATGTTAACTAATGGTACATATTGACATGGTGACTTCATTCGATAACATCGTTATCTGAACACTAAACAGAGGCCTTTTAACATTCTTTAAGATGACAGTAGAGATGACATTACAATACACCATGCGAGGCGAAGATGATTAAATGGCGTTCAAGGACGCTCGTATAGACGAATAGACGTAATTATTCACCGTTCTCTCATTGTTCGCGTATTATCGAAGACGGTGAGCATACATGCGCTCGTTTAGCAATCACATACGTGTATATACTTGTACGCAGACAAACTCTCGGCCCTCTTCGTAGGTGACTCACCGTTTGCAGAGGGTAAATCGACCAATGGTAGTATCAACAGCACTAACACCGATAGTGGGGCAAGGATCCCTTTTCGGCGCGGGAATGCCAGTTCCTGCATCCTGGAAAATATATATGTACACTTTCATTATACATTAGTATTGAATTATGCATGGAGGTTTATGTGCGAATTTCTTACGCGAGCGACGAGTATTTGTCGAGACGTCTTATTTTTTTCTCAAACAAATTGCGAGTTATCGAGTGTGTAATTGTGTAATTGTGTAATAGTCTACAGGAGATGAAAAGATAAGAAACATTTTTTGCTTATCATAATGGGGTGCCCTTTCGAATCGAACAAGATTTCCTGTTGTGTTTCCTGTGGTATTTTCTCGTATCATCCAAAATAATAGAGATATTTTAAATGAGAGAATTTCAAGTTACAGGAAACACCCTGTGTAATATTTTATAATACATTTGAGATGTCAGATAGGTTTAATATATCGACATGTTTAAATTTAATTACATTGCTATTATATAACATTATAAAATTAGATCGTATTATGTCACAAGATCCAACTATCGTTTTATTTGTCACAAAAAAATAATTTGCTTTAAACGAATATTGTTCGAATATTGTTGTAAACGGGTGCTGTTCTTTGTACCAGTTTGTACCATCAACAGTTTCGACAGATACAAACGATTCGGGAACAAACACCCGTTTAGTATTTTTTTTCATCCTTTATAATTTTAAAGTACACTCCTTGAAGTACGAACGAAAAGGAAGATACAAACCCAGCTTAATTTAATGCTTATTAAAAAATTTGTTTCTTAAAGTCAGGTATCAGATTCACATAGGTTAATTATAGCGCTGATTCTTAAAATCTTTATTCTTCTATTTAAAAAAAATGATAATAACTTATTACTATAATTATATCGACAAATATATGTATACATATAGGTGACAACCAAAAATAACTGCAATTATAATTTCGTTTGCAAACTATACATATTGATTGATAGAACTATGCATACAATATTCTTGAGGACATAATGTTTTACGGGCACTTTCTGAGGTACGGAAATTATGTATTTCACGGATTATCTTCAAATCCGTTCTTAGAATGATACTGAAGTCTGTCCTACATTTGTCCCCGCCCTATATTATGTGTAATAAAAATCGATATTATATTAAAACGATATTTAAAAAATGAGAGAAAATCTGACGTGGTATTAACTGTGAGCGATATTGTACAAATATTAAAAGTAGATCGCTACATAAGTAGCACAAACCACGTGTCTTCGTGACGATAAAGAACGAAGAATGAATAGTGGGGATAGAAGGTGATAGATAACTCGATGTATAGAAGATAAGCAGATAAGATAAGCAGATTAGGTTTATTTACTTTGAAGTAAATGCTTTAAAAAAAAAAGAAGAGAAGGAGTAAAAATAATACATAGACTACATAATAAAATAATAGGTACCGATTTACAATGCGACATTATCACAAAAACAAAAGAAATAAAATTAATATGACAACAAAAATAATTATATAATAAAATAAAAGATTGTGAAAATGGATATAAATCTGAAAGAATAATGTACTGAAGTGATAGGCAAATAGATAAAAACAAAACCAATTTATAATTATTCAAAATGAGGCTCTAAGAAAATAATTTTATTACGCGCGCGATTAATGAATTCAATGTTTAATATATTGATTTCATAACGCAGCTCGATTTTCTGAATTATTGCAATCCCATTATATTGAATTTATTTTATCAAATTTGCTGAGATACGATTCGCTTGATGATTTAACCGATGCGTTGAAATAAAGGCAACGCTATTTCTTACTAAAATTCTTGCGACAATTTCTCTTGCGCATATTATGCTTATCTATGTTTCAAATTCATAGAAAAACATGGGTTTTATTCCGTCACCAAAAAAACCGATGACATCATGAAACTTAGAAAGAATTGCTGTGTGCAATGTGCTACATAACTACTATCGTAAATGAATCATGTGCTCGATAAAATCGATATCTCGAAAACAACTAGTCGCTTTCTGTAAATAAAAGGGACATGTCGCAAGTGGACAAGCATACATTTTCTTTGCATAAATTGTTTTCGTTTGATTTCATGATTTGGGAAATTTCTCCCTTGTGTCAGTAAAGCTGACTAAATTATCCATTTCTACTAACAATAAGTTAGAGTTATTTTAATCTCGATTTAACTCACTATTTGTATCTTTCTCCAGTTCTAAGAATTAAAAAAAAAGATAAAGAGTAAGAACACAGTAAGGAGATTAATCTACATTGATAAAAATGAACATATGTCACGCTACGTGCTAGATATCGAAACTTAATCAATTGATGAGTAAAATCAATACGTTGGAACGAGAACAACTAATCCTGTTCTGTGACTTGCAGATTATAGCTCCTGCATCCTATAAAAGCATCGAATAAAAACACTCTCACGATGTTTAAAGCTAATAAATTCAAGAAATTCAAAGATTTGTGCAATAATATTTCTTCCTACAATTTCACGCAAGATTTATTAAGCGCAAGAAAAACAAAATACCTACATATTGATTGCCTTGAAAATCAGTCGCAACCGTGTACTTATAAATTTTTGTCGACCCAGGTATAAAATTATGTAACCGGTAACTTGATAAAAACACCAATTAATCACACTTTCACAGCAATATATGTACACCTACGTACGCACTACGACACTCTAATTGTAAGAGACGAAACACGGTAGGCGAACAACTGTCCTGTTAGAAGAAAGGCGAACAACAATATTATTATGTCCACACATGTCCACCTTCCTCTTCTTTTTACACCGATCGCACCGATTCTATGAAGAGATATCGAAAGTATACTTTGCGTTCGCGACTGTAACCAATGCTTATCTCTATCATGGATGACGAGAGATAGCTAACGACGAGACGCTCCAGCCAATGCAATGGTATCTTTCGCGGGACCGGAAGCGAAAATCCAGAGCGGGAAAAAGGGGAGCGACGCGAAACGCACTACGGACACCGTCGTCGTCGATCGCGCCGAAACGGAATGGAAACGAGATGGGCAATCGACGGCGATTCTATAGAAGAATCGACGAGAACATCCCGGCGAAGCCGCGCTAGAGACGCGACGTCGAGCGTCCACGTACGTATCGCCACGTGAATGGAAAGAACAGCGGTTGCATTATTTAACAAGGTACACGTGTACCGCTCTGCTTTGTTACGATGCGCGGCAGCGATGTGACGCGAGAACGCGAAAAACGCTCGTTCTCCGTGTCGCGTTCGCGATGCGCGCAGCCAGCGCGCAGACAGCGTTATCCCGCATTCGAACATGCGTGTTTTACGCACTCGTCACGCAATATCGATCTATTCGCGTCGCGACGCGACGACGTTCCAATTCGCCGGAAGTTCGTCGATCGCACGATCTCGCAACGGGAACTCGCAACTCGACTTTCCGCCTTTTCGCGCCTTTTCGTCGTTCCAATTCTTCTCTATTAAAATAAATAATTATAACAAACGTGGTTTATAAATCAAAACATACAAAAAGAGAAGCATAAAACCACAGCATTAGATATTGTTTGTGAAATTTAATGAATCATTACATTAATAAAAAATCTTTAGACGGTTCTTCTCTATACAAACCGAAAAGAAATCGATAACACTGTATGCTACGATAATTTAATTTCTTTCACGATAAAATCAAGAGATTCCTTTTATTTCAGGAAAAAGTATGATATATCGAACTTGGATGCTTTCAGAAATAAGTAGATACGTCAAATATTATATTTTAACAAATGAGTCTCAAAAAATTTAATTTTCGTTAAAATGATATTTACTTAATGACCATTGGAAAACGAGGTCTTCTATTCTTCGTTATCTGAAAAGTTCCATTCGCATTTTTTAAATTACAATAATGTCTTTTCACACAGTATTGAATTATTCCGTAACTACTGGTTACTCTTAACATCGAAGAATCGCCATTATTCTTGTCCTAAAGCGACTGTGGCTAAAACGACATTCGATAGCGGTGAGAGAATCTGTGTATTACATGCAGGTAGGACTATAATTCTGAGAGGGACAACGATAATCGCTAACCATAATTATTCAACTAAAGCTATCAGCATGATTAAACGCTTCTGTTAACAACGCGGGAGACTTATTTACAAACGAACAAATCTACTCTAAATGTACATCGCGTAATAAATTGTTATGATATACAGCACATAGTCAGATTTTTCGAAAGTAGAGCTATTTTCATTGCAAAAGTCATCAACATAATACTATAACTACGATAAGTCCGTTTATATCTTTGCGGATACATGAACATATGGAATATCGTAAATTAGAATTATCAATTTATGATTAAAAGCATTAAGTCATCAAGTTATCAATTTATAATTTAAAAGTGTTACGAATGATATTCAATTGTTATCAAGCGGTAATTACATCAAGCGGTAATTATATTTATATTTACAAATATCTTGAGAGCAGGGCATTGAACTACTTTTACTTTAAACACATTTATGATACAATTTTATCTTGTATTTTGCATTTTAGCATAGCATAAAAATATTTTTCTCTAGTATTTTGTATTTCAGTATTTCTTCAAAGCGAAAGATTGAAAGTATTTTGTATTTTGTATTTTGTTCAAATAATAAAATTGATTGACAATCTTAGTATTTGAAATACAAAATGCAAAATACTTTCATGCTCCGCTGAAATATAAAATACTGAAAATACAAGATACAATTGTGCTTACAAATGCAGCTGTTTTTCAAATAAAGGTATTTCAAAATACATGTCCAGCCTTGCTTGAGGACTGTAAGAATTAATGCGAATTCATCGTGAACATGGATGTTGCGTAACATGATGATAATATTGCACAGATTTCTTCGAAATGCATGACGTTTTATGATATGCGAGTATCAAGTTTTCTTCTTCTATTTAGCGAGATTCACATGGTGAACTGTTTATATTTATCTTAAACGTTATCCGGTTATTGATCTCTAAGGTTGTTGTAACTGTAAATAAATAAAGAGTAAAGTAAATAAATGCC